AAGGGATGACTTTGGGTGCTGTGCTGAGAACAGACTGAGGGGCGTGGGGTGGGGGAAATGGCGGAAGCAGGGAGACCTGTTAGGAGGTGGTGGTGACTTGGACCAGGGTGATGGTAGAGGAGGTGGTGAAAAGGGCTGGTTTCTGGATATACTTGAAAAAAGAGCCAGCAGGTTTTGTGAATGAATTGGATGTCAGGTGTGACAAAAAAATTAAAGATGACTCCAAGGTTTCTGAACCAAGCAACTGGAAAGATGGAGTTGCCATCAACTGAGACTTTAAAACATATCCCAAATCTGCCCACTTCTCTCTGCCTCTACCCCAGACCAAGCCACTGTCTCTCTGCCCTGGACCACTGAAGTGGCCTTCTAACTGGTCTCCCTGCTGTCATTCTCATTCTCTAGTCCATCCTTAACACCTACAGTCAGTGGTAGTTTTAAAATATAAATCGGCGTGGCTTAGTGGTTAAGTGCGTGCGCTCTGCTGCTGGCGGCCCGGGTTCGGATCCCGGGCGCGCACTGACACACCGCTTCTCCGGCCACGCTGAGGCCGCGTCCCACATACAGCAACTAGAAGAATGTGCAGCTATGACATACAACTATCTACTGGGGACTTGGGGGGAAAAAATAAATAAATAAAATCTTAAAAAAAAAATAAAATAAAATAAATCGGGGCCGGCCTGGTGGTGTAGTGGCAAAGTTTGTGCACTCTGCTTTGGTGGCCAGGGATTCACAGGTTCAGATCCTGGGCGTGGACCACTGCACCGCTGGTCAAGCCATGCTGTGGCAGGCATCCCACATATAAAGTAGAGGAAGATGGGCACAGATGTTAGCCCAGGACCAATCTTCCTCAGCAAAAAGAGGAGGATTGGCAACAGCTATTAGCTCAGGGCTAATTCCTCACACACACACAAAATATATAAATCATTTGCTCAAAACACTCAGAATAAAACCCAAATGCTTTGCCGCAGCTTTTGGGGTACTGTATGAACTGGCCCCTGTCAAACTTCCTGATCGCATCTCCCACAGTCTAGCCACATTGGCATTCTATCTTTACTTTCAACACCTCAAACTCATTCCTGCCTCAAGGACTTTGTCCTTGCTGTTCCCTATGCCTGGAATGCACTTCCCCCAGATATTCATATGGTTGCCGCCTCATTTACTTTTGGCCTCTATTCACGTTATCTACTCAAAGAAGCCCTATCTATCGTGGTATTGACCTGTTCTCTTCCACCTATCACTCTCCAGACTCTTCCTTCACTTTTTCTTCAGAGCACTTATTACTTAAGATTATATTACACGTACTTATTGTCTATCATCTTCAATAGACTGTAAGCACCATATGGGCAAGGATTTTGTCTTTTTCATTGATATATCCCCAGCCCCTAAAACAGTACCTGGCCCAGAGTAGGCACTCAAGTATTCACTGAATGAATGTGAGGCTAAATAAGACAACGTATATAAAGAACTTAGAGTGGTCCCTGGCACAGAGCAAGCAACAAGAAGACGCCACACTCTGAGATCTCTCCCCACCTCACTGGTCACCCCTTTTCAGTCTCCTTGTCAGGTTCATCCTTGTCCTTCTTCGCTTGGCCAGTAAATGTCCAAGTTCCTCAAGGCTAAGTCCTGGGCCCTCTCTTCTTCCCACTTGACATTCTCCAACCCAGGTGATTTCAGCTAAAGATTTCTTGGAGAGGTCTATCCTAAGCACCAAGTCTTGAGCAGCCCCCTAGTATTATCCTCTATATAGTGCCCCATTTATTTCCTTTTTTTCATTAGTCACAACCTGTAATTACTCATTTGTTTACTTTTGAGAAAAACATCTCCTGACAACTGGGAACTGGCATGACACGAACAGCTAGGCCTTGGTGTTGCTAAGAGCTGGGCTGGTGCTCACTTCCAGGTCATGGTGCTCTTCTATTCAACATAAACAACCTCACAGAACACCAATGTCAGGCAAGGTCATTCTGTGACCATGACGACGTAAGACAGAGTTCATAATTTTGTCTAAGCACAGACAAAAACAAGGTCACTGTGCAAACATAAAGACTAAACAGCTGGGCCGGCCCTGTGGCTTGGTGGTTAAGTGCGCGCGCTGCAATGCTGGCCGGGGTTCGGATCCCGGGTGCGCATTGAGGCACCACTTCTCCGTCCATCCTGAGGCCGAGTCCCACATACAGCAACTAGAAGGATGTGCAGCTATGACATACAACTATCTACTGGGGCTTTGGGGGGAAAAAAAAAAAAAAAAAAATCTTTAAAAAAAAAAAAAAAAGACTAAACAGCTCCCTCTCGGCTAAAATGAGTGACGACTGCTTTTTTACCAGATACTGCTTTAGGCATGTTTCATTCCTCCCACCTCCTAGAAGAGATTTATTAAGATGGGCAATCATAGAATTGCCCCCACTTCCTAATAGCACCCAATCCAGAACAATTACCTCCTTCCTTGAACTCTTCCCCAAATCACCTGACACAAACCCTAATCCTGTCATACCTAACTCTCCCTTAACAACCTCCGCAGAGTTAATAAACCCAACTTTGTTTGACTATAGGTGTGCTCCTAGGGGTCATTGGCTGAAGAGCATTGACATTTTTACTGTCTTATTGTCTACTGCATCCCCAAATTTTAGCAGGGAGTGGCCGTAGAGGATGGTTTATACGACCCTAATGTTTTCACCTGCAGAAAGTCCAATGTTTTGCTTAGCACATGGCTGCCTGAATAAAGAGTGCTTTTCCTTGGGCCAGCCCCGTGGCTTAGCGGTTCAGTGCGCGTGCTCTGCTGCTGGCAGCCCGGGTTCGGATCCCGGGCGTGCACTGACGCACCGCTTCTCCGGCCATGCTGAGGCCTCATCCCACATACAGTAACTAGAAGGATGTGCAACTATGACATACAACTATCTACTGGGGCTTTGGGGGAAAAATAAATAAATAAATAAAATTATAAAAAAAAAAAAAAGAGTGCTTTTCCAAACCTCACTGGCAGCTAGGTATTGGCCATAGGACTAAGTTACAGCCAGTGGCACATAAATTGAAGAGCTGTGTGTTAGCCTCGGGGAAATTTCCTCCAAGACAGCTGGTGTCCTCTGCCCTTCCTCCTTCCTGATGCTTGGAGCATGGATGAGCAAGCTAGAGTTTCACTGTGGACTGTGAATAGGAGGGTCTGACCCCAGGGATTGTGGAGCTAAAAGCTGAGCGGGGAGAATGGGTTCTGAAGACCCAAGGACCTTGTGGCATGATTGTCACACATGCCTTGGACTGTCTACCTCTTCACTTGTGAGAGATCCAAGTTTCTATCTTGCTTTAAGACTAATTTTGGTTTCTGTTACAACTGAACTTAAATGTGATAAACAGGGCCACAGCAGGTGCTTCATATTTACAGAGTGAATGAATGTATCCATGCTCAGGGCTTTAACCACAACTTATGTGCAGATAACTCACATTTATGTCTCCGGTTTTAATCTGAATACCAAACCTGTTTATTCAACTACCTACTTTCTATCTCTCCTTTGATGTCTTACAAGGCAGCTCAGACTCAACCACTCTAAAAGCAAATTAGTGGCATTCTGCCTGTTTTCTTTCAATACCTTTCTTTTTAAATGGCACTTAGTTATGCAAGCCAGAACTACCCCAAGAAACCTAAAATACCTTCATCTTGATCTATTTCCAAATGTCCACTTTTCTCCCATTCCCCTATCCAAGTCTGTACCACCAACACGACTCATTTGGACTACTAAAGTAACCTAACTGCCACTTCCAAGCCTGGCCAGCTCCACGCATTACGAGCTGATCTTTTTGAAAATTTAATCCTTGTACTCACTTCCCTAAAACCCCTCAAAAGCTTCTCTCTTAAGAGCAAAATCCTTGTTTTGCAAGTCCCTTAGTAGTCTAGTTCCTCCTCCTCCTGCCTCGCCTCCCACTCTTCCCATCTCTTAGCAAACACCTTTCCCTGGACTACGCTCTCACCTCACCTCCTGCTTGTCCTTCAGGGCTTAGCTCGGTTGTCATCTTCCGAGACTCCCTTTATTATATACCCCCCCTTTCATCACGTCTCGCTTCTCCACAGTGCGTTTTTTTTTTTTTGTGTGTGAGGAAGACTAGCCCTGAGCTAACATCTGTTGCCAATCCTCCTCTTTTCTGCTGAGGAAGACTGGCCCTGGGCTAACATCCGTGCCCATCTTTCTCTACTTTAAATGGGATACCGCCGCAGCATGGCTTAATAAGCGGTGTGCACCATAGCGGTCTGCACCTAGGATAAAAACCTGTGAACCTGGGGCCACTGAAGTGGAGCGCCCCAACTTAACCCCTATATCACTGGGCTGGCTCCTCCACGGCACTTTTTTTTTTTAAGATTTTATTTATTTTTTTCCCCCAAAGCCCCAGTAGATAGCTGTATGTCATAGCTGCACATCCTTCTAGTTGCTGTATGTGGGTCTCGGCCTCAGGATGCACGGAGAAGTGGTGCCTCGGTGCGCGCCCGGGATCCGAACCCAGGCCACTAGCATCGGAGCGCGCACACTTAACCGCCAAGCCACGGGGCCGGCCCCTCCACCCTCCACGGCACTTTTGATATGCGTAACTTTACATGTATTTGTGATCTTTTGGTGAACCCATCTCCTCCGTATATTTACAATTCATTGGTTTGGTCTCAGTTATCTCTAGTGCCTAGTCTATTGCCCAGCCCACAGGCACTCTACAAATATTTGTTGAAAGACTGCTTTGTCATTACCACTCCCTAAACATCAAACCTACAAACACAGGTAAAATGTCTAAAAATTCCTCCATGGACTCCTGACCTCTCTTTTCTCCCATAAAACTTTACCCTTGAACATAAGGCAGCCTGGTCTGGTTAATGCCTATAGGTTAATGGAACCCCACTGGTTCCTTCAGACTGGAAGAAATTGAAGCTTTGCCTTTCTCCATCACTGCATATGAACTAAATGAATAAACCGTCTTCAACAAGAACAGCCTCATCTGCACCTCCAGAGATGACTGGAACACAGGGATTAAAGAAAATGCTTGTTTCCACTGTGTTTATTACTAATATAAAAAATGTTAAAAAGAAAAAAAATTCATTCTCAGTTTTCCAACGGCTCTCATCCCTCCCTCTTGCCCACACAACTCCTGACCCATTTCCTCAGGGCCAGTTCAAAACTGAAACTGTTCACTGCTGTTTTCACAGAAAACAACCAGTGCCAGGGGTGTCGGGGAAGAGGACTGGAAGAGGGCGACAGTACTGTCCAGGTTCCGCCCAACTGTAGGCTAGGTGGAGATTCACAGAATTCAAATGAAAGGGCTGGTGGCCTCACAATGACGTAGTCTAACTAAAATGGGCTGGAGAGGAGATAAGGTAGGCCCATCAGAGGCTTTAAAGGACACTCATGGCCCTGTGTCAAACCCAGAAAAACCGACACTGGGAGAATGGGGAGGACCACCGAGGCAGTCTTGTGGAAGGTTTCACAATTCTCCCATGTTGGGAGGTGGGGAACGTCTAGAGGGCACCAAGAGCCTCACTCATTTTGGCAGAAAAACTTACTCTAGTGTTGGGAAGTCACAAAAATGCCACGGACACTGAGAAAGGCTACGAGGGGATGTACAGTTTCACAAAGTACAGTGATCACAGACCGTAGCAGTGGAGATCATGCTACTGACGCAGAAACTATGAAATCCAAGAGCAGGGAGTGGCCTTGCCGGGAATGACTCTGTACCAGTCATCCAAACCTGACCCCAGGTCACACAACCTGGTGAGTTTCACAGAGCAGCTGACAACACTGGGGATGAGGGCTGTCACATAAAAAGACTTAAAACAAGCAGCTAGAAGAAGGGAATGCTAGGAAACTACTCCAGGGCTCTCAGGACCAAGGGCAGTATGGGGGCTGGGTGGACAGATGCACGAGAAACAGCACCAAAGAGGTTTCCTGTTCAGCAGTCAGTTGGCGAGGGGGAGGAAGATCCAGGAGGCAGTTGAAGGGAGCAAAGATGGGGTCCTGAAGGCGAGTCTCTGGAGGCTGGATCAGAAGAAAGAGCGCACACCGTGCACCAGTGATGAAACACAACTCTGGACCCCAAATGGGGGAGGTGGCAGGTGGGGGTGGGCGTCACTGACTGAGGGTGGTGGGTGGAACAGCCTCCCAGTAGCCATCACAGGGCCACAGGGAAATATATGGCCGCTAGGTCACAGAGGGCTCCTTCCAGCCTGGATGGGAAGGCACAGTCTCACAGAGGAGGTCCATTGACGCCTGGGTGGTAGAAGGCACAGAGGTCCTCATATCGACAGTGGCCCTTTTTGGCAAAGTGTCGGCAGACAGGGCGGTCTGATTTGTCTGTGAACAAGTGAAAATCGAGCAGTTTAGAATGTGACTAAGAAATAAAACAAATGTAACAAAAAGCAGAGATAGAGAGGGTGGTCAGATTTCCTGTTCCCTACCATTTCCAGATATTTTGGAATGGTAGTTTTTCTCCGGGGAGAAAAAACATTCAAGGCTACTCCTACTTCAAAAGGACAAAGGACAGCCCAAAGAAGAGTCATGAGCATTCTGGGAATTAGGTCCTTCTGGGAACGATGGGTATTACATGTGTACAGGCATAAACAAATTGACCTCACCTTCCATAACCTGGGGTCCATCCTTGGGCGGACAGGTATTTTTGATAAGAGACCAGCTTTTGAGCCTTCGAGGATTTCTCTGTTCTTTGTGAAAGCCTCCCCTGGAGGGACCCCCATGACCTGGTCCAGGAAAAGGAGGTTCAGCATTGACTCCCCACCAACCACGACCATATGGGCCAGACCTGGGGCCCAGGCCTCCCCGAATTGGGCCTCTACCCCGGGGAGGAGGTGGGAGACTCAGCAGTGGTGGAATCATTGGCCCCCTTGATCCCGCAGGACCTCTGTGAAGAGCTGTAGAGAGACAGAGAGAGAGAGAGATGTGGAAAGATGATCAATGACCAGCTTAATCCTGATAAAGAAGGCCTAATTTTTTTTTTACTTTTTATCGAAATACAATATACATACAAAAATATACACCAATTTTAAGTGCACTCAGTTATCACCAAAGTAAACACATCTGTGTTTCCACCACCCAGGTGAAGGAATAGAGCTTTATTAGCATTTTAGAAGTGCCCCCACCTTGTGCCCCTCCCCCCCATTCCTCCCTCCTCCCCAGAGGTAACCACTATCCTGACTTCTAACACCATAGGTTAGTTTTTGCCTGTTTTTGAACTTTGCATAAATGGAATCATACAGTCTGCATTCTTTTGTGTCTGGCTCCTTTCGCTCAACATGGTGTTTGTGAGATTCCTCCAGGTTGCCTGTAGCAGCAGTTCGTTCACTTTCATGGCAGTGTAGCATCCCATTGCATGCACACACAACAACTTATTTATCCATTCTACTGATGGTGGACATGTGGGTGGAGTCCAGTTTGGGGCTATAACGAAAAACGCTGCCATGAACATTTTGATACATGTCTTTGTTACACATATGTATGCACTTCTGTTGAGTATATACATAGCAGAGGTATTGTTGGGTCCTAGAGCATATGTATGCTCGAGTTTCATAAAGTCAAACTCTTTTTTTCAAAGTGGTTGTACCAATTTACACTCCCACCAGCAGCTGTTCCACAGTCTTGACCACACTTGGTATTGTCAATCTTTTTCATTTTTCCCATTCTGATGAGGGTGAAAAGTGGTGTTTTTTTAAAATTGTGGTAAAACATGTAGCAAAAAATTTGCCATCTTAACTATTTTTAAGCGTATATCTCAGTAGTGTTAATTCACATTGTTGTGAAACAGATCTCCAGAACTTGTTCATCTTGCAAAACTGAAACTTTATAGCTACTAAATAACTCTCCTTTTCTCCCTCCATCCAGCCCTTGGCAAACACCACTCTACTTTGTTTCTATGAATTTAACTACTTCAGATACCTCATATAAGTGGAATCATATAGTATTTGTCTTTTTGTGACTGGCTTATTTCCTTTAGCATAATGGCCTCATCTATGCTATAGCATGTGACAGGATTTTCTTCCCTTTGGGGGATGAATAATATTCTATTGTATGAATATACCATATTTTGTGTATCCATTCATCTATCAATGGACATCTGGGTTGCTTCCATCTCTTGGCTATTGTGAATAATGCTGCTATGAACATGGGTATGCAAATATCTCTTCAAGATCCTGCTTTCCATTCTTTTGGATATATAGCCAGAAGTGGGATTGCTGGATCATATGGTAGTTCTATTTTTAATTCTTTGAGGAATCTCCATACTGTTTTCCACAGTGGTTGTACCATTTTACAATCCCACCAACAGTGCACGAGAGTTTCAATTTCAAAGTGGTGTGTTTTTATCTTGCATTTATTTAATGACTAATGATGTTGAATTCTTGTTCACATGTTTTTAGCCGTTTAGATTTCAGTTTTTATGAGGTGGCTGTTCCAGTCTTTCGCCCATTTTTCTAACAGGTTGTCTAGAAGAGTTCTTTATATACTCTGGATATGAGCTCTTTATTGGTTATATTTGTCGCAAGTATCTTCTACTCTATGGCTTCCTATTAATTTCTTAATGGTGTCATCAGATTAACAGAAGTTTCTATTTTCTAATGTAGTTCAGTTTACCAATCTTTCCTTTGTAGTTAGTGTGTCTGTATTTCTTGTCTGTTTAAGGACTCTTATCTACTCTAAGACCACGAAATAAATTTATCTTCTAGAATTATTTCTTCACCTTTTACACTTAGATCTATAAGCCACTTGGAATTGATGTTTGTATATGGTATGAATAGGAGGTCAAATTTCATTTTTTCCCCCACATGAATGTCCAATTAATCCAGCATCATTTACTGAAAAGACCACTATTTCAGGTTCATCTTCATCATAAATTAAGTGTCCACATATGTGTGGGCCTTTTACTGGACTCTTTTTGCTATCCTAGTGACTTAAATGTCCATTATCACACTGTCATAACTACTATAGTTTTACGTTGTCTTGATATTCAGAGTAAGCCCTCTCACTTAAGACTGTCTTTGCATTCTCTCAGGCTGATCCTTTGCATTTCCATTTCCATATTATAATGTAGAATGTCTATTTCTACAAAAACATTATAGGGATTCTAACTGCGAATGCATTGATTCTATAGATCAATTTGGGAAAAACGGACATTTTTACGACATTGAGTTTTCCAAACTGTGAGTATACAACATGTCTCCATTTATTTAGGTACAAAAAGCCCTGATATTTTTATTTTAAAGGATATATTCTTTCTAGGTTTCACTCCCTCCCTCACTCCCTTTTCCAGGAGCTAATCAAAGGATTAGGGGGCCCCTTCCTCCTCACCTGACTTGGGGTCACCAGGCTTTCCATTGGCCATGGGGGGAGGGCCCAGAAGGCTGGGTGGTCCTAAGAGTAGACATGAAAATATGGTCATCAGAATGGACTAAAGGACTGATGATCCTATTCTTATTATGTTTTTCTTCTATTAGTCATTTCTTAATCCAACCAGTAAAGGTATATTCTTAGCAGTGTTAAGAGTTCTCACCCCATCTATCTGCCCTTTCCTCTGCAAAGCGTTTTCAGGGTTTGCCAAAAGTGGAGACTCAGTCAAGGGGGATAAAGCTGGAAGGTTACCTACAACTTTCCCTTTTCTTTACATTGTTGCTATCCAGATCATCTCAGTGATACCAGAGGTAATCCAATCTCTCTAACTGCTGGCCAATCAGATAGCTCCCCAAGCCCACGCACACCCCGGTCCCCCGCCCTGACCCGGAGTAGTTTTAGAGAAGGCTGCACTTCCACCTTCCCTGTGAAAGTCTGATCACAAACTGTCATCCCAGTTGTCGCAACCTGCAACCTCTACCACTCCTCTCCCCTGCCACTCTGTGGCTGCGCACACGAGCTCTTTACCTTCTCCCCTATCTTGTTTATTAAGCTTTAGGAGCCAGATTGAAGTTGAGGGTTCAAGTAAGAGAACTCCTCCTTCAGGGCTCCATCCCGGACAGTCCCCTCTCTGCCCCAGCGGGTGCGCCCTTCCTCCTTTCGTTAGAGCCCCCTCCCCCGCACCTTTTCAGCCCCTAACTCCTCGCCCTGACCGGCTGACAGGCATGTGCACACCCCTCCCGGGCTCCTCACCAATGGGACTCCCATCCTCCTCATCTCCAGTCTCTTCCCGCTCTAGGAGTGGGGGCTGCTGCTGCGGCGGCTGCTGCTGCTGCTGATTCTGCTTCTTTCGTTTCGGCATCGTGGTTGCGGCAATGGCTGCAGCGGGATTTGGAGGGCAGTGAGGAAGGGGCACGCTGGGATTCTGTTTCCGCTTCCGGGGGGGCGGTGGACAGTGAGGCTGAGGCTCCCGCCATTTCACTTCCGGAAGGCTGCGGGGTCCTTTGTGCGGTCGCGTTCTCACACCAACTGCCTCCCTCGGTCTCTGCCAGGCATGGCGGCAATCTCAGACCGTCCCTTTGCTGCGTTTGTATAAAAGCTTAGAAAAATAATTCCTCTCTTCTCCCGTCGCTGAAAAAACCCCACAACCGTCTCCTCACAGTGTGCCATAGAGTCGACAGGCTCTCGGCCCAGAAGGCCTGAGAAGAGAGGGATGTCGCATCCTAAGATCGCCACATCCGGTACCCGGTTACTGTGGTAACCGCTGCAGGCACAACTTCGTGCCCTCTGACCTCCCTCCAAAAGTCCTTGTCCTACCTGGATGTCCCTCCTCTCCCGCGCTTGCCCTTATAATCTGTAAACCTGTTCCTTATCATCGTTCCCACAAGGAATTTGGGTCCCAGCAGGGCGGCGCTCACGACTTTTCAGAACACCACCCGCCCCTCAAGACTTCTGACCCTGCCCCCAGTGTAGCCCAGAAACTTGGCTTCAGTCCCGGGACGCGCAGTCTCGGCTTTCCACTAAGGTCACACCCGGGGGTTGGTAAAACAGCTTCTGCGTGTCCACGCCCCTCTCTGCCCCAGGTGGTAGGACCCGCCCCCCGCTCCGCCGCTCCCCTCCAGGTGAGTGGTAGCTTCTCGCCGGCGCGAAAGGTAGTGATGACACGCGTCCCCCCTCCTCCGAACGCGAGTTGGTAGCGTCCATGACGAAGTTGTCCGATCCTCCCACGCGCGCCTCCTTCCTCGCCGCCGCTGCGCCCTCTCGGTGCTACTGGCTCTCACGTGCGGGTAGCCCACCCCGCATCATCCTCTCGCCTCGCTCGCAGAGGGAAGTGACTGTATTTCCCCTCGTCTGCCTTCCACCCCAGCCGCCGGGGCGAATTGGCCGGGCCCGCCCGCTGACGTCACCTCAGAGCCCCGCCCCCTCAAGGGTCCCGGGCCCTTGCGGCGGGGGCTGCCCCGCGGGGGGAGTCAGTTGAGGCGGCGGGAGCTCGGCGGAGGGCGGGCCAGGTGACTGGTCCGGGCCATGCCGAGAAAGAAGCCCTTCAGCGTGAAGCAGAAGAAGAAACAGTTGCAGGACAAGCGGGAGCGGAAGCGAGGTCAGTGCGGGAGGGAGACGAGGGGGCGGGGCTCCGGCTCCCGCACATCTGGAAGGAGGGGTGTGCCCGCCGCACCTCTAGGGGGCGTGGGAGGGGGTGGTGGTCGCGCGCCGAGGCGCGCGGGCGACCGCGGACGGGATTCCTTCATCCCAGCCCCCTAAATCTGGAAGGAGTGGGGAAGGATGGGGAGTTGGGGGAGGGGAATCCCTCCAGCTCGAACGGGGCGCCATCCCCGCAGCTCCCTGGAGGAGGAGTGACTCCCCCCACGCACATCCGGGAGGGTCCTGGGCACCGTGGCTGGGAGGACCGGGCCTCAAAAGAAGTGGGGTGGGGTGAGGGGGAGCCAGGCCGGCCGAAGAGAGGGTCTTATGGCCCCTGCGAGCCGGCCAGCCCTGGCGTCACCGGCTCCTCCCCGCAGGGCTTCAAGATGGGCTGCGATCCAGTTCCAACAGCCGCAGCGGGAGCCGGGAGCGGCGGGAGGAGCAGACAGACACCTCAGACGGGGAGTCTGTGACCCATCACATCCGCAGGCTCAACCAGCAGCCTTCCCAGGGGCTGGGCCCGCGAGGCTATGCCCCGAATCGGTGAGAGAGGGCGGGGGGCGCTGGCCTGGGCCTCCCCGCCCACCCGGAAGTCAGCCGGCTGGGGGAAAGCCGGCTGTTGTTGGTGGAGGCTGGAAACTGGAGGTGGCGGGGCTGGGATGCCACGAGTCTCCGCGGGCCGCCGGGCTCACCGGAGCAGGCCACCGTCTTCCCTTCCGGAGGGGCTGGAGAGAGTTTGGCTTTTAGAAGAGCGAGGCTTAGGGGAAGGGCGAATATTCCGTGAAAGAGGGACTTGGGGGAGGGCCGACTCCGAGAGGAGATTTGAAAAAGTCTGGAGAGCAAGCTTTGCGAAGTTGTCTGCCCAAGGGGAGAGAAGACGGGACTTTGTGGTCACAGGACTGTGATGGATGCCGTGGCATCTCTCCCGTTAGATATCGGCTGCATTTTGAGCGAGACAGCCGGGAGGAGGTGGAGAGGAGGAAGAGAGCAGCCCGGGAGCAAGTGCTGCAGCCGGTCAGCGCTGAGGTGCTGGAGCTGGACATCCGGGAGGTCTATCAGCCCGGTTCAGGTGAGGGAGAGCCCGACATGCGGGTGTTTGGGGCAGGCAGTGGGCTGAGGGAAGGAGCTGGGAAGAGCTGACGGTCAGGAAGGAGGGGACTGGGATGCACCCTTGAGTCCTGAAACTGTCCTCATACTGACTTGGACTTTTTCTTGACTTTCCAGTCCTGGACTTTCCCCGACGTCCTCCCTGGAGCTATGAGATGTCCAAGGAGCAACTGATGAGCCAGGAGGAACGGAGCTTCCAGGAATATCTTGGGAAGATTCATGGGGCTTACACCTCTGAGAAACTCAGCTACTTTGAGCACAATCTGGAGGTGAAAATGGAGTGGGGACAGGAGTGGGGCGGAGTGACCCATGCTCAGATTGGTCTGGGATCAGGCGGGGAGGGACTCTGGGCTCAGGGTCTCTTCTACTGACCTGTCTTTGCAGACATGGCGGCAGCTGTGGCGAGTGTTAGAGATGTCTGACATCATCCTGCTCATCACCGACATCCGACATCCAGTGAGTGCTGGGGGGAAGGCGGACATGGGAGGAGGGAGGAAGATTCCTGTGGGGTAAAGGGCGGAGCAGGAGTTGGGAGACAGAGAGGTGTCCTCTTTCCTTTCCAGTCTCCTCTCCCCCATGCTGCTGTCCGCAGTCAGGAGCTCAGTCCCTTATTCATCAGTATGACAGACTGTCACTCCTCCCCTGGCCAACTGACTCTCCTCTCCTTTACTTCCCTTGATGAAAAACTGCATATTCTGTTTCTCAGTCCACTGGGAACTAGAGCAATAGAAAGTCCCCATGTGGAGCTCCAGGGGCTTCTACGAGGGCAGCTGGGGGCTTCCGCCTCTCTTGCCGCATCAGTTGCCATGGGACTCAGCCTCGCCTGGAATGCTAGGGTAGTGGTTCAGGCTCTAGACTCTGCTGCTGGGCATCCCTTGTGTGAATCCTCTCTGCCACTTCACCATTGTCCTCCAGTGGGAGAAAGGGAGGTCTGTGGGGACATGTAGGTTGGAGGTCGTTAATGACATGTACACACACACTCGTACACATATACTCTGCCTCCAGTTCCCCACTCACCAGGCACAGCTCAGAGACAAGACTCTGGTGGGAGCAGATTCTGGGGCAAAAAAGGTAAATGAGCCAAACTAAACTAGAAAGACAAAGCAGGGGTAAGTAACGCCTCTGCATTTGTCTCTGAGGGGCTTCCTATGGGTCCTGGTTAGGGATGGAAATGAGCTGAAAACAAGATAAGGAAATAGCGACACCTAGCACATTGGGGTAAAGGCTGAAAGCAGGCACAGGGATGGGAGTTGGGGTAGAAATTAATGTCTATTTTCATGTGCATACAACGGTCTACATTTGCTCACATGCATATGTCAACTCTGGGTTGACCTCTCATTGCTCCATCCCGTGACCACCCCTCTCCCAGGTTGTGAATTTCCCACCAGCACTTTATGAGTACGTGACTGGAGAACTTGGCCTGGCACTGGTGCTGGTCCTCAACAAGGTGGATCTGGCCCCGCCGCCTCTCGTGGTTGCCTGGAAGCATTATTTCCACCAACACTATCCCCAGCTCCACATCGTCCTTTTCACATCTTTCCCTCGGGACCCCCGCACCCCACAGGACCCTAGTAGCGGTGAGTGGGCAATGAGGAGGGCAGCGTGGGAGAGGTGGGTGGCAGGGGACAAAAGGGAGCACAGAGAGGCTTGTTGACAAGGGGGTTCCTGATCTTGGGCCTAAGGGTGGTGGGAGAGATGGGGTGCTAACCTTTTTGTGCTCTCTGATCTCAGTGTTGAAGAAGAGTCGGAGGCAGGGGAGAGGATGGACTCGGGCCCTGGGGCCAGAGCAGTTGCTGAGAGCCTGTGAAGCCATCACTGTGGGGAAAGGTATGTGCCCCTTAGAGGGAGCTGTGGGAGGCCATGGGGGAGACCCAGGGCCTGCAGTCCTTTTGCTAACCTTTCCCTAAGTCAACCTGTCTATTATGGATGCAGGCCATAGGCCAAGGGGAGGGATGGAAGAGGGAGCAGACTGACTTGGTGGGACAAGTGAGGCAGCAGGTAGTCAGGAGCCCCAGTGGTTACTGCCTTCAGTCTTCCCAGTACTTTCCAGAAACTCAGAGAAATGCCCATGATTCCACGGTGGGGTCAAGTGAAGGCTTGGGAGTTAAGCGTAACTCCAGCCAGTTACATCAGCTGTGCAGTGTGTAGTCTGAGCCCTCATATACTGTGGCCCTGGGGAGAACCTTCTTTTTCTCCTTCCCTGAGCAGTGGACTTGAGCAGCTGGCGGGAGAAGATTGCCCGGGATATGGCTGGGGCCACCTGGGGCATTGGCTCTGGGGAGGAGGAGGAAGAGGAGGATGGGCCAGCAGTCCTGGTGGAGCAACAGACTGACTCAGCGATGGAGCCAACCGGCCCAACCCGGGAGCGCTACAAGGACGGGGTGGTGACCATTGGCTGTGTGGGTAAGGAAGCAGCGGCCCAGGCATGGCAGCCTCCTAGGAGGTCCAGAGTTTCTATGTTTGGAAAAGAGGGAAGGTGATCAGGTCTCATTAGGCTCCAGGGTCTCTGAGGGCAGAGGAGGCCGTCTGCTGTAGTCGAAGGATCATGGCATGTCTGAGTTCAATTCCCCCTCTTCTCAGCTGTTACTGATCTTGAACAAGTTATGAGTCTTAGTTACTTTGTCTTAGTCTAAGTTGCTTAGTCTGAGTCTTAGTTACTCTGATTTTAAAAATGAGGACACTGATACCCAATTAAAAGACTGGATGTAGAGGGAGCCTAACAGAGCCTAGACAGATAGTGATGATAGTAATAAAAATAAGTGTTAACATTTAACGCTCATATGGTGCTTACCATGTACCAGGCACTGTTCTATGTGATTTGTATATATTAACTGTTTCAGTTGTAGTAATTAGTCATAGTAGAGTGACCATTAAATCATAGTAGGAGCTTAGCAAGTATTAGTTTCTTTCTGGGTCTTAACCCTTTAAGTTTGTTGTCAAGGAGAGTCTTCCCCTAATTGAGCGTGTTTTCTCTGCTCTTGGTCGGGGAGAGAGGAATGTATGATTAGGGCCTAGGGCCCATTTTCATTTTGGGTGGGAGAGGTGAGAAGTGACTTTGGCAAAGTTGTCGTATCTGAGGTGACCCTGGAACTAAAAAAGGCCCAGCCTTTTTTAGGGAGAAATTAGGGAGAGCAGAGTGGCGGGACTCCTTGGAAACACTCCTGACTTATCTTTCAGTCCCCTCTTGTCTTGGGGAAAACCAGCCTGACTGCTGACAGACTGCTCCCTTTCCAGTCATGT